AAACAAGAGATACTAGGTCGGAATACCGAAGATTTTGCTTAAGTCATCGGGCGAAAACAAAATTACTATCAAGTTCCTCTGGTCATTGTTGCAGCCAAGAAACGATGTTTTTATTGTGTATGTGAAAAATTTCATGAATTACTGCAAAAGGAGAAAGTAAAAACTGCTTACTTATGTTTCTCAATACACTAGCTTTTATAACTCCACACTGGAGAAAAGATTATTGTAGATTCAAGAGCAAAATTGTCAACTGGTTTCTTGCAAGAGAAAATAAGATTAGAGTGTTAAATCTCAACAAGAGGGGGGGGGGGGACACTACAAAAAAACGGCCTAATTGCGGGGTTATTTTTAAGGTTTGCGGCAGTTTGAAACCCCCGCAATATGTTGTTGCGGCAGTCGTTAAAACCCCCACAATAAGAGTCGCCGCACTCAATTTGCGGCAGTTTTTTGCTGATCGTCAGAAATAAGTAGCGGCGGTTACTTCGCGACAGTTGATCCCTGCAAATCTAAAATTAAATCTTTTTAAAATAATTTTCAATTACGAATTGCGGCGGTTTGAAATCTCCGCAAAATAATTTTTTAATTTTTTTTATTGGCTTATATTTAAAACTCCTGGCAGTCATAACCTCGGCAATTCATTGAATTCTTTTAATTCATATATTAATGACAAATTCACTAATTTAGGTGTAAATCATAATCAAAGCAAAGAAAAAATATTTTAAAGTTAAGAGAAATCAATAACATATCAAAAATCATAAAATGTTGTCATAAAATATCATTAGTCTTTAAAACTAAATTGTCATCATTAAGTAGCATCATTAGACTCAAAAAATAAATTTGAACACAAAACATTCACTCCAACATTCCAACATCCGCTCCAACCACACAACTATTTTGTCACAATTAATTATCTAAGACAATTACAATGAAATCAACGGTTGTCACTAGAATTACTATCACCGCATGATCTCCTTGGGTCCATGGGCGAAAGCGGTCCACTGTCCGCATCACTTGGCTGCATAAAAAGAAAAAGAAAAGTATAAAAATCATGCAAGAATCAGACATTGTAATAACTCTAGGTTCTACTAAGTACTGTAAGTAAATAAGTGTAACTCTTCAAGCTTCCTTTGTACTTAAAACTTAAATTTAGATTAACATTGAAGTATTTCTTTTCTTTATTGGACTGAAAAAAGAGATGTTTGTGCAGATATATTTTGTTGGAGCAGTCAAAGAGTATTGATAATATATACAAGTCAGTAAAACCAATAATCACTAGCAATTAATAAACATGACCAAATAAAAGATTAATTTTATATTGCATTATGCTCCTAATTTTAAAAAAAATCATGCCCAAATCATACATTGCAGTAACTCTAGGTTCTAAAAGTATAGTACTAACCTAAGCCACTCTATCTTTGAAAACAGATAAATTTAAGTGAAAAAAAATTGAAGAACTTTACTTACTGTTGTAGGAGTAACCGTCGAAGGAGAAGTAAAGAATCCTGCAAACTGTTCAGGTATTGCCCCTTCTTTCATTATAATATATGCCTTGAAAGTATTCATCATTTGATTGTGAGCATTCATCATTTGATTATGGTTCTATTGACATTTGGGACGAACATGAACCTTCACTACTTGAAGTACTTGTAGCACCAAAACGAGGTCTTACTTGTTTAAAAATGCTAATGGGGACAGGTCCTAATCCCAAACACCTCGCCCTTCTAGAGTGCTCTTTTCCTAGAACCTTACCAACGACACCATTTGGCAAAATTTGAGACTCGTCTATGGTGCTTTGGCTAAAAGCTAAACCATTTGGCAAAATTTGAGACTCGTCTATGGTGCTTTGGCTAAAAGCTAACTCCATTTTTCCTACACATACAAAATTTATTGTCACAATTAAACCAACATGAATGCATTTGTCTAGTGTACCTTACAGATCCATACACAAAGACTTCAATAGAGTGAACACCCCTCATTAACTTAAACCAAATGAAATGCATGACTAGCTAAAAATACACCTCTTATTGAAACTTGCATTATATCATATTTCACGGATTCTGTTATCCCCATAGTCCTAAAGCTCATGCGTTCTTTTTCCTATTTTGTCTAATGCAAAATGATTGATTGATACCAGTAAAGGAAAAACTTCTTGCCTAAAAGAATTCTACTTAATTTACTTAAGTTCATATGCCATCTCTCGAAGGCATAGAGAGATAACATTCTATATAAGGACCAGAAAAGTATGAAAGAATCAAACACTTGTTGCAACTATCCAGAAACTTGTGCACGAAAGAACATATTTACCAAATTCTCACCTCAACTCACAGTCAAATACTAGAAACGACATTTAAACAATGACGCCTAGGATGAAATGATAAACTAAAGTAGCAGAAACCAGGAAGAGAAACCAATTACTTGTAAAAGCATAAAGACTCCCTCCAATATAATTTATACGATACTCTTTCCGTATGAATAAATCCTAAAATCTTTGACACCACTCCATTAAATAATATTGCTCTTTATAATTTTCACAACTTTTAGATATTTGAATTCATTAATGGTAAACAAAGAACTCAAATTCACAGAAACTCATGCATATTTCTTTTACTTCTTCATTAACATATACTCCATCTTGATTCTTATGAGTAGCAATGTATACTTGTGCTCGTCCAGGCCTTAGTCCAATCTGAGCCATCAACAAATAAAAAATCAAATTAGAATTATTTACTACTTAGAATTAATTACATAGTAAGTTAATTTACTCTCAATTTCAGCCCTTCTCGTAGCGTTGGCTTTGGAGCCACCTGTGTGTGGAATCGTCTGCTTTTTTTTATTTTCAGCATTTCTTTTACGCTTTTTCTTATTAAAATACTTGAAACTCAATTAGAAGAACAAATAATAATATAATTACAAAGACTAGTAGAAGTAGTTACATAAGTACCTTTGTTGAATCTTTATATCGGTAATCAACAAAAGAAATTCATTGATCCCGCGGAATTCCATCCGACACATTATCAATAATCTTAGCTCTACTTTTAAGTGGGTCTTTAGATGCACTCCACAAGTTAAGCTTATTTGCAGCCCATTTCTTTCCAACAAATTTATGAATATGTTGCCGCGCAACTGACTCGGTTGTCTTAAAGAAGAACTTGGGCTTCAAGAATAAGATATTGGTTAGCATATCTATTACATGCAAATATAAAGTTCAAAGGCAAAATTCTCACATAAAAAGGCTACCTCAATATTAGCAAATACAACAACACCATGAATGATTGCAAAGTCTCTACCCAAAAGTGCAGTAAAAAATCAAGATAAGGAAAATTCAAATCTCAAATTCAGCACGATATTCATTTTCGGAACAAGAACATTAGTTCTACAAGATAACAAAAATCCTATAGCGAGATAGAACCCCTATAGCAGTCAAAATTAACAGAGATAAAGAACTAATAGAGTTAATAGCACGTGATATCCTACCAATGTAGCTAATTTTGTAAACACATTTGTTTTCAAAATATTTAATTTGCCCAATAGCTAGATCCAAGACAATATCACCACAATTACAGATGATTTCAATAATATTTCAGCAGATACTTACAAGGATACAACTCTCTTGGACTTTAGGTCACACTTTAAGCCCTTTCAGCCACATGGATCAGCATCTTATGGTCTCCAATGTGTAAGAACACCGTCTGAACTTGGTATTGCGGTCCTAAAATTAACAAATGCTTGACCAGCAAAAACAAAATTAAAGTCACATGCAATTGAAACACACACAAAAATTACAGATTATACAAACCCAATAATGGGAAAGACGAAAGACCCATTTTGTAGAAATAATATTACATAAAACCAAAAATAGGATAGAAAAACTTACTGTAATTGAATATACCTGTCGATTGCTTTGCTAGAGTGAGTGATAGAGATGCTTATGCCACTTTATAGGGAAAAAGTGAGGAAAATCGAAGAAAAAAAAGGGAAAAACGAGGATTGAGTTTTAATCTTACAAACAGAATGAGAAATTCACACAAAACTTTCGATTTTAAAAAAATTAAAGTAGAAAGAAGCATGAAATTTGAGTTAATCTCTCATAATTGAGACCATTATCTTGAGTTGTGGAAAAATGTTAGTAAGAAGTGGCAGAGCTTTTGAAGTTTTGTTATAGTTGAGTTAATCTCTCAATATTTGTATTTTGTTTCAGCCAAAAAAATGAGCAAAGCCAAAAAAAAGTATGGGAAATGTTAGCGCGCTAATGTTTTTCCCAGATGGCGTAGGTTTCGAGCTGCCGCTATTTTGCTTATATTGTGCCGGTTAAGAAAAACCCTTGCTATTTAACGAAATTTGCAGGGGTTGGAACTGAACCTCACTATTAAACCGCCGCAATTTAGGCTTTTTTTTGTAGTGAGAGAGAAAAGAATATCACACGGTGTGGTTTTGTTTATCTTAAAATGATCGGATTATTAGAATGGATGGGTCGGATCTTTTGGGTTGGGTTAGAAAAATCCATGTGGACCACTAAATAAATGCTACATGTTCAATTAAAATGCTCATCAATGTCATGTCATTTTTCCGTTAAAAGTGGGGTATTTTTAAGCCTGAAAATAACATTAAGGGCAAATTTGAACAAATAGGTGGATGAAGGGCATTTTTGAGCCATTTCTAATTCGTTGAGAGCATTTTTGGCCCTTTTCCGAGTAAAATTTAAAGATCCGTGGGACTTACGCCCTATATCTTGGGGCTTACGCCTCGGCTCATCAGAGGTAAAACGCCCCGCCTCACACCCCCTTTTAAAACATTGTCATCAGCGACGTGGGATTTGACTAATACTTTGTACAACTACCTCACTGGCTTTGCAAGTCCAGAAAACAAGGCTCATACTGAACAAAGCCCAACATATAATCGTAGCCCAAATACTCGTCATTTTCAGAAAATATCAAAGGATCCCAGATTTTGGTTCACCTTACCCTCTCATCCTCAAGTACTATTATAAAAAATAAAATAAAATGAACTATAATAAAATTCTGCAAAACCCAAATACTACTCTTATCTTCCTCCCAAGCTTAATGGATACTGCTAAAGCCTAAAAAGTCTCCACCTTTAACATCAAACTAATCAAAACCAGGTAAATTTATTCATATTCCTAGTCAAAAATTAAATCTTTAGTGTTGGGTCCAAGTTTCATGGAGCAGCTCATGTGCATATTATAGAAAAATGGCATCTTTTCCTCTTGTTTCAAATGACTGCTTATTAGTTTCTCACAAGAAATGGCAGCCCCATATTGGAAAGTTTGAACCTTTAAGTAGATTCAAGAATCAAACTTGCTCATTATCCAATTCTTGTTTTACCTCAAGTTGCGTGCCTTTGTTGGGGTTGAATTATAGATTGTATAAATCTCAATGTAATTACAAGAAATGGATGCTCCATTTTGGAAATTTTGAACCTTTAAAGAGATTCAAGAATCTATCTTGCTCATTTTCCAATTCTTGTTTTGGGTTGAATTATAGGTTCTGTAAATCTCAGAGTAGAGTACTACTTTGTAGTACTGGGGTTAGGTCACTGGTAAATGAGAAGGGAGATATAGAAACCCATTTGAACAAAACAGAAAGTAATGATATTCGTAGGAAGTTTTCGTTGAGATTGAGACCAAGGCTAAGATTATTGTCAAGAAGGTTGAAAAGGGTGTCTGTTAAATCTATGTTAAATGATTTTGGCAAGTTTTTGAGGAAGAATACAAGAAGAGTGACACTGTCAACTTCAATCTCAGTGGTATTGGGCTTGTGCTATTTGTTTCTAAGATTGACAGCAACTCCTTCTCCAAAGGTTGTTCCATATTCAGACTTGATTACTAGTCTTCAGGGAGGGACTGTAACTAAGGTTCAATTTGAGGAAGGCACGCGGCGTATTTACTACAATACAAACTTCAGTTGTCTTAAGAATGTTCAGGCAGGTGAAGCTAGTTCTTTAGTTCCTGCTGAAAGCGCGGCTGTTCAGACAGGTGAAGATAGTTCCTTAGTTCGTGCTGAAAGCGCGGTGATAATTGGGGAAAGCAAAGATATGGATAGCAACAAAGGTGGCAGGAGTAAAATGTCAAAAGCCCAACCTGTATGGCAGTTTTCGACGAGGAAGATTGATCATGATGAAGGATATCTTCTCAGTCTAATGAGGGAAAAGGGAACAGCATATGGATCAGCCCCTCAATCAGCACTTATGTCGATTAGGAGCTTATTGATTACTATCTTAACTTTATGGATTCCTTTGACTCCTTTAATGTGGCTTCTCTATCGTCAACTTTCTGCTGCCAATAGTCCTGCAAAAAAACGAAAGCCAAGTAACCAGGTGGTTGGCTTTAATGATGTCGAGGGTGTCGATGCTGCAAAAGTCGAACTTATGGAGGTAAGCAGCCATCATTCTGAACTCCACAGTAACTTTTAAGTTTTGTAATTCTGGTGATAGTCAGTTTATTATCTCTCAACTGGCAAGCGTTTTTCCTTCTTTTTCTTTTCCCTCCCTCACCTGTTAGGCTGGGAGTAGTAGTAGTCCTTTGTTGCTTCATTTGATGAGCTGTGATGCATTCAACTAGGTTTGTGTATACGGATGCTAATTCAATACTTTGATTCTGAAGATAAAAGCACATGCTTTTTGTATCCGGCAGTTTAAATAGAGAGGGAACTTAGACTTATGTGAATATTAGCATTCAGAGTTGCAACAATTAGTTTCTGATGAAATGACTTCCCCTGAAAAAGAAATGGATTCCCTCTTTTTTCAACTATAGTTCTTTATGTTCAGGCAATCCATTTCCAGTAAGAATAGTCTAAACTGAATTCGCGTGAAAACAATTTAGTATATTCTTTAACAAAGAGTTGATTGTCTATGTAATGGACATACATGTTGATCCATATTAACATAGCAATACAAGGGTTATTCAGTTTCAACCATTTCGGGTGACTAACACAATAGGCTCTGGCAGCTCTTTTCGCCGACTGTAAAAAATCTTTTTTGGCTTCCGACATGTTTAAACAAAATGCTAATTCTTTCAGACCAAATCGTCCAAAAAAGGCACAGTGACAATGTTCTCCTAGCTACATTCGTCCCATTACTTATTGTCTGTAATCTCCAATACATAATTGTTTTCTTCACTTTCCTTGATAACACCGATGATATGTTAAACAGTGAGAACACAATGGTCAAGTGCATTAGAAGTAATCTGTTCCTCTCCATGCTCCTTGCACAAGTACCACCAACTCATAAAAATCCTCCTCTCCGTCTTAAGTTGTTTTGCGTTAAGATAGCATTGCGCACTGAGCCAAGCAAAGAAAATTATTTTCTTCAGTGAAGCTTAAACCATTTTAAGCGAGAAACTTCTAACAGTCAAGGAGGAAAACGTAAACACCATGGAAGTACAACAATAGCTAGAAATTGAAATTCCTGATTTAGGAAATATCATAAAACTTGAATAGCTTCTTTCTCACATTTTTTGGGATGAAGTAAAGAAACTTTTGTTAATTCTGGCATCCAAAAGATGCATAATTAATAAAGCGTTAATGACAGCTTTTCAAAACTCAAGGCGCCAATGAAGTCCAAAATTAGATCTACATCAGTTACACCTATGCTTACACCTACAAAAAAGGTTCAAGAGGCATTTGCTTTTAGTGCAGGGATCGTTGCAGAGCTCTCTCTCTCTCTCTCTCTCTCTCTCTCTATATATATATATATATATATATTGAAATTGTTTTTAGTTTCTTTTTCACAGTTCTGCTGCTATATATTAAGAGAAAAGCATACCTGCATATAGTCCTACAAACTTCAGCTATATTGCATGACTAAAGTTTCTACAAATTACTAATAGTAACACTGAGGCAAACCATCCCCCCTCTCCCAACCTTTTCTTTGATCCTGACTCATTTTTTACATTGCTAATGATTAAATGAGTATTTTTTTAAGATAATGCCAAATATACTAGCCTATTCGGTTTATATTGTTGAATTTATTTCCTCAGATAAGGTGTCCAATTATTTCTCCTCCCAAGGAAGGTAAACAGGGTGTTGTGCAGTTCATATGCTGTTATTATTTCCTTGGAACGATAAGTGTGAAGAGTGAACCCAAGTAGATTGGTTTCACTTTACAAGCTAGTAAAGAATCTGTCTTATGTTGCATAGTACACCATTTTTATTCCTTATTGGATTGTGAACAATTCATTTTCTTGTTTGTAGGTAGTATTGTGTCTGCAAGGAGCTATAAACTTCAGTAAATTAGGGGCGAAGTTACCAAGAGGTGTACTGCTTGTAGGTCCACCTGGCACAGGAAAAACGTTACTAGCTCGTGCAGTGGCAGGAGAAGCAGGACTACCCTTTTTTTCCGTTTCTGCTAGTGAGTTTGTTGAAATGTTTGTTGGAAGAGGAGCAGCTCGCATTAGAGACCTTTTTAGCGTAGCAAGAAAGAATGCTCCGTCAATCATTTTCATCGATGAACTTGATGCTGTTGGAGGAAAGCGCGGCAGGAGTTTCAATGATGAAAGAGACCAAACTTTGAATCAGGTAAAACAAAGACTGGGACCTCTATCACCTCTTTGGTGGTGTCACTGTATTTATCCGATGACATCTTGATTGAGTCATAAGTTACCAGTAGTATCCTTCTGCTGTTTGTGCATCTTTAAGTTGGATGTTTATTATTAACATAGCAAAAGCAGTATAAAGCCATCAGTTTATCATTACTACTGCAAGTTGACCCGCTTTTAGTTATCTTCCCTAATCTGTTTTTTCTAAATAAACATTGAGGCCGATCTCCTCATTACCTTTCACCTGGGAATACTTTTCATAACCAGTCACGTTTATCATAAAAGTTATGTCATTGCTTTGCTGCCAAGCTGCTAATATTTAAGCTGAATTTAGGAATGTTTTGGTCATATCTTTCTTAAATGAGTTAGTTTATGAATACGAATGATGGTTGGAACTATGACGGACCATTGTACATTATGTTGCGCCTCCTTTTTAACAACAGGTTTTGATGTATATACGCTTGGCTATAAATTTTTTAATTTTATCAAACCCCTAATTTGCTTTAAAAGACAAATCATTTAGTATTGGAATGAACTGGACTGAAATAGATCGAACTGGATACAGAGGATCCATATAGCGGACTCGAACTAGCTCCTGATTGTCCGTTTGCTCAGGGTGTAGGAATTGAAACATTGTGCTACAAAATTGATATTTTTAGTTGTTGGTTATATTATGCATTTGTGGCCCTCAGAAAACCCTTCTGTTTTTCTAGTTGCTTACGGAGATGGATGGCTTTGACTCAGACTTGAACATCATTGTAATTGCTGCAACTAATAGACCAGAAGCTCTGGATCCAGCTTTATGTCGGCCTGGACGTTTCTCCAGGAAAATTTTAGTCGGTGAACCAGATGAAGATGGAAGGAGAAAGATCCTGGCCGTACACTTAAGAGGAGTGCCCCTTGAGGAAGACCTGGAGCTTGTGTGTGACCTGGTTGCATCTCTTACTCAAGGCTTTGTAGGTGCTGACCTTGCTAACATTGTCAACGAAGCTGCTTTACTAGCTGCACGCAGAGGTAAGATTTATACATATTGCACTTATTACCACTGTTTCATTGCATTCAAAAATGCTTAGGGGTCGTTTGGTAGGATACATTAGATAAAATAATGCATTCATTAGCTTTGTGTATTAGTAATGCCTTGTTTGGTACACATTCTGAACCTATGCACTGGTTATGCAAGCATTAGTTATACACCCTATTTGGTATTATCCTATGCATAAGTAATGCATAGAAAATCATGATATTAACAATGCAACGGTTTTTAATGCATGCATTATCTTAGTTAAAGACAAAATTGTCCTTCACAATTTATGCTTAATTAAAATATGCTATTATATTAATGCAAGT